CTGAGGAGGTAGAGCCCTGATTCATGACTTCCCAATGAAACTGGGTGTGTGTCCATAGGCAGAGGAAGCCAGTCTCTTCTTTCCCTCTCTGTTAAGTGGTTGGAACTTTTTCTTTATCCTGCAGCTTGAACAACTGTTTCTTTGCATTTTCTTCCTACTACCAATGCTACTCTGTCACTTGCCCTCATACATTGTGCTGGAGTGGATAACCCAACCCTTCATATTCCTGTCAGCAGAAGCTAAAGTGCTGAGTGGACTGGTGGCTGTCAAGAGAATTGCGAAGCTCTGTGGGTAGGTGTCTGGCCAATGACACCAGGGATTTAGGGGTTACTGCTGCTGAAGCAGGGGCACACAAGTGGGTGCATGTGAGGCAGCAGTTTCCCTGCTGCCCTCATACTCTGCCAAGTTGATGATGCCTCTCAACCCTCAGGATGGGGGAGAGGCAGGCCAGAGTGTTTTCTCCACTGTGATAACTTGGGTCCTCTGAGAAGCAGACTCTGGGAAGATATTCTTTGTACCAAAGACTTATTGAGGGAAAGTCCTTTGATGGGGAGAGAGTCTGTGGATGCTGGGACAGCTGTCAGACCTTCCTGCAGCCCCATCCTCAGTGGGGAGAGGGGAAGAAAGGAAGCAGGGGAGAAGCTTTAAGCTGCGGGGCATTTCTAAGCAAGTGGTGGCAGGGCTGAGTGGGCATCCTCCAGCCACTGGGCTGTTCAGAGGAGCCCCCTGTGAATGCCCTGCTCTCTCAGTGCTCAGCCTCCCTGTCTGAGTGCCCTGCTCCCTCAGTGTTCTGAAGAACAAGTAAAGTAAAAATATTTGTGAAGGGAATGTTTTCATTCTCACCTCTCATTCTAATTAGTTCTCCATATTGTTGCTCAAGTGATAGTTCTTATATGAAAATCTGATTGTTTAACTCTACTACCTAAAATATTTCAATAGTTCTGTGTTGCCATTGGGTTAAAACTGAGAACTCTTACATGGCAGAGGGGCCTCCTTATGACGTGACCCCACCTCTGGTCTACAGTGGAGAGTTCAATCTCTCTCTCTCTCTCTCTCTCTCTCTCTCTCTCTATCTCTCTCTCTCTCTCCTCTGCATTTATATGTTATTTTCGTTAAGTTATCCTAGTGACTGTTGAGGCAGAAACACTAACATTTAGTAACTATGCAACAGAACATTAACTTTTCATTCACATAATAGTCCAATGCAGGTACTCCTGGTTGATGATGTTTTCCCCCACCTGGTGTCTCAGGGCAGGTGCTTTTGCTTTCTTCCCATCCATCTAATAATAGGGAAAAGAGAGAAGAGAAAACTCTCCTACTTCTTCAATGTTGTGGCCCAGAAGTGGCACGTATTACTTTTGCTTACATTCCATTGTTGAAAACCCAACCAGATGCAAGACAGCCAGGAAACCCAATCTCTGGCTGCCCCTTCTCAGCAGCTGTTGTGCACATTGGAGAACATAAATTATGGGGATTTCCAGCTATCTCTGCTGTTCCTCATGTGCTGTCACCTATAGATGTAGCCTGGATCCCAGCTCCTTCCCTGATTCAGCTCATCTGGACAACTCTTATGTGGCCATTTAAGATTCATCTAAAGCTTTGCATCATTTCAAAGGCTTTGGAATATCTTCACTCTATACTCATATAACACAATGAGCTCACCAGCTATCATTGCACACATCACATTGTATTATAACTGTGTTCATGTATAGTTATTATTTTACAAACATGAGCTTCTGTAGGACTGGTACTGTGTTTTTATTTTAAATCAGTAAATATATGGCACAAAATATGTACCCACAAATATTTTATTAAATAAATGAAAAGTTATTGTATGACTGGATTCACAAGAGAGTGGTAAAACAACCAACATTGGATGTTCTAAAGAGTGAGTTTTATCTTAAAAGAGTAAATTTATGTTAAAACACATATATCAATCTTATTTTTAAATTGAGGAATGTGTAGGCCTCTGAAGTTTCTTTGCTCTTGTTAATAAATCTGTCATGTAAAGAGTATTCACAGTGGTCAGATTACCCTGAGCATCCTAACGGAGTTCATACACTCATAAGTCAAGGGCTGTGACTTGGGTTCAGCTCTTCACTAAAAGGAATGTTATGTTAGTAGGATGCATTTGGATACAAGTAAGCTGAAACTTGAGTCACAATTGTTTAAAAAATTAGAGAATATACTATGTCACATAGCATGAAGTCTAGAATTAGGGTAGTTCCAGGATAGGCTGATCCAGTGGCTCAGTTAAGTCAACCAGGACCTGGGTTCTGTCTTTATCTCAGTCCTACTTTCCTCAGTATATTTATTATGTCCTTGGACTGGATCCCTTCAAGGGATCACAGATATCTGCCAGCAAAAAGTGGGGAAATATATTGCCTTGGTTATGTCCTGAGGGAGAAAATAAGAACACCCCTCCCCCAACCATATAAGTGCTTCTTTTTAGTCTGACAAGACTGACTTATATATATATATACTAGTAGCCCGGTGCACGAAATTCGTGCACTGGGATAGGGGGGGAAAGGGGCCCCTCAGTCTGGCCTTCACTCTCTCCAATCTGAGACCCCTCAGGGAATGTCCAACTGCCTGTTTGTGCCCACACTTTTAACAGATAACAGCTCCATTGTTGTTTCTTTCTTATGCTTAAAACCATTGGAATTAGTAGGTATTCAAAGTGTGTATACATTTTGGGGGGACACCCTGTATATCTCTAGTCAGCGGTGAAAGAAACCAACAGCAGATTTGGAACCCCCAGACAGGGAACCTCGCTC